TAGTAGCAAAAAAAAAGGGGGGGGGGGAGTGAGTAGAACGAACCAACTAGCAGCGTGAGCATTGCTAAAACGTGTAGTAAACAATAAAATAAAACAAAGACAATATGCAAACATACCTAATCACTCGGGTTGAACCAGCAATTTACTTCTTGAAGAAAACATTAATGTTTTCTTGTCGTTTCCTGTAAAAGAAAACATATATATATATATATATTTGTATAGATATATATGTGTTAGTATAAAACCAGGAACACTATACTTTCGTCTCACTGTCACTTCCTGAATGTCTCGTGCGTGTAACTAACCTGTTTTCTCAGTTGAAAGCAAAATAAAAGAATATACGTTGTCAAAACTCGAAACCAAATTCCAGACTTTGATAAGAAACGTCTTCAGCGCCACACAACGGAATAAATATGTGTTATCTAGTTTTGGGAGATATATGTGTGTTGTGTGTATTCAGTCTATAACGATTTAATTATACTCAAACAATTTTGTACCAACCTGTACAACAGCAAACAAGCAGCTTTGGATTCCAAAGGCAGGTGGCTATCATGCTATTAAGAAAAAGCGTCAAGCTATCTATATAATAAGATTCAGTGTCTCTGTGTTATTTAATTTCTCCTAAACCGCTGGTCGCACCTACTTCTATGTGGTACCAAACGAATTGTCTCGGTTCCGAGGTTCACACAAAAGAAAAAAATCACCCCACTCTTCAGCGAACTCGGAGGTTTTGCGAAAACACTTTTACGGGGATTCACCGAAAGCTGACCCCAAATTTGGCATCTATTTACATTGGATCACGTAAATAAGTAGGCCTACTAATTACCGTTTGTAACTTGGTTAAATAAATTACATTTTCATTATAGCGGTAATGATCATTATACTCAAAAAGTCCAAAATAGTAGTTCAAGCATTACATTTTCATTATAGTGGCTCTGTAAATGTGGGCCATAGGTCCACGAGTTCGCTGGTTTCGATAAGAGGGAAGACTTCTCTCACGTCCAGATGAGTCATGCATAGTTTCATCGCTAGTTGTTTTTTGTTTTTTAAATAATGCAACAACTATTTCATGTGTATTGTGTGCTATATTATCGTTACAAATACAAAATAAACAGTGTGAACAAAGAAAATTTATTAGTTTTTGTTCGTTGGGAAGCCATTATTATAGAACTATAAAGTTATCCAAAATTTTATTCCGAACTTTAAGAAAGAGTTTAAAACTCGTAATAACAAAGCAAGCATCGTTCTTTAAGACAAACCTATATAATTATTGACATTTCTCGAATGGAAACAGGAGATGTTGTAACTGAAAGATCGAGTAATTCTACCGTTCCATAACTATTACAGAATACATCTTTATTCCAGTACATTCACATAATGTTTCTAAATTTTCATACAGTTCTTGAAGGTAGTGTTACGACAGCGGAAGTCACGTGACGAATTTCTCGAATGATCGGGGAAGTCCGAGTGTGCTCGAGATGCCCTCTTCGTTAGTATAAAAGCCTGGCAGAGGTAAGCCAGCGGGGTGGGATATATAAATGAAGAGAGAGCAGTAGTTACTATGAGTTCCGTGTAATTTATGATTCTGTTAGTTTCGAGCTAGTGACCCGTAAAGTGTGTGTTTTCACTCGTGGAGAGCGAAGTTATCGAGATTGTGAATCGCTGTGATTTATAGCGTGTATCATAAAAGTT